CAAGGGGAGGAAAGTGGGAGAGAATGGGAGGAAAGGAAGGAGGAGAAACTGGTCAGGATGTAAAATAAATGAATAAATTTAGTTAAAAATGCTAAAAGTAAAATGCCCATATAACCTAGTTTATACCACTCCAAAGGACTCCATATCTTATTACAGACATATTGCACACCCATGTTTATAGCTACTCTATTCACCACAGCTAGGAAATGGAACCAGCCTAAGGTACATAAGATGAATGGATAATGGAAATGTGGTACATATACACAATGTAATTTTATCCAACAGTAAATAAAGGTGAACTTTGTAAGAAATAGATGAACTGAAAACAAAATACTGACTAAATAATCCAAGCCCAGAAAGACAAATACTCCACGTTCTTGTTCATATGCAGATACTAGCTGTAAATCCTTGATGTGCTTATCTTGGAGTTGCTGCAGAGGCTGGAGTGATACAAGAATAGAAAAATGAAGCATAATAAATCTTTATTTTTGAACGAGTCACCAAGTATTTTGATAGACACTTAATTTAACAGAAAATTAGTAAAACATAACATAAAGTAGACTCACAGAATATATTTGAAGAGTATATTTAACACTAAAGCATTCCATTTTACCTTAAAGTCTTTGACATTTTAGGGTTTTTTTTTTAAATCATATACACCTTTTAAAAGAAGGAAGATGCCAGAAAACTGACACTTACTAAACTTTAGTTGCTGTATGTCATATAAAATCTCCTTTAATCCTGCCAGAACCTTAATGTGTGTGGTGGTTTGGATAAGAATGGCATCCCTTGGCTGATATGTTTGAATATTTAGTCTCCAGTTAGAGGAACAGTTTGGGAAGGATTGGGAGGTATGTCTTGCTAGAGGATGTGAGTAACTAGGGTTGGCTTTGAGATTTCTAAACCCCACATCATTCCATGAGCTCCTTCCACCCTCCGCCTCTTGCTTCTTATTAAGATGCAAGCTCTCAGCTACTACTCCAGTGCCAAGCCTGATGGCCTGTCACCATGCTTGCAAAATAATGGTCATGGACACTACCAACCTCTGGAACCTTAAACCCCAAATGAAATAAGTGGCCTTGGTCATGGTGTCCTTTCACAGCAGTAAAAAAAAAAAAGTAACCAAGACAGTGTGTATTATTATTCTAGTCTTGTAAACTAAGCTTTTAGAAATATTCTCTTCACAAGAATACCAGGTTAACAATTTGCATCCTAACCTAATCTGAGGTCATGTGCTCTACTCGGGAATCTCTCTACCTCTATGCCATCTGCTATTATTCCTTTTCTCATTTCTGTGACAAAATACCTGACAAGAAGCAATTTAAAGTTGAAAAGGTTTATTTTACTTTGTGGTTTTTTGGGGGAGGGGCTGGGAGTAGGGGGTACAGTTTATCATCAAAGTAAAGGCATCATGGAATTCACTGAGACAAGAGCATAGGGCTGGGACTCCTCAAATTACCACAGTCCAGGAAACAGAGACAAGTCAGGAAGTGGAATGAGACCATAAAACCTTAAAATCCAAATAACCCCGATGTACTTCCTCCCATTAGACTCTACCTCCTCAAGATTCTACAGACTCTGGGAACATTGCAACCCACCAGCTAGGGGATAAAAATGTCCAACCATATGTACTCATGAAGGGCATTTCACATTCAAATAATAACAGAAGCTAAAAAAAACTATCATGTGAAAGAAATATGAATATACACACATAAAGGGAAGAATTATTCCACTATGTACTTGTGCAGCATAGAGAAAGCACAAGAAAATAAGTAAACCAACAGAGAAAGACACAGAGACACTAATACATTTAGGCAACAAATCTGGTTTTAATAGAAACTTCAACTTGACTTCATTATATTTATATTGTGTTCCAAATTATTATCTATGAGCAAAGTCATCCAGAAAATTAAGGGAGGCATATATGATAAACATAAAAATTAGGTATTTGACAGAATAAAATAAATACTGCTTAGTAATTACATCAGGCATGTCTTCAGTCTCAATGTAAGCTATTAGAAGTAGAACAACTGTTCAAAACATGCTGCCAAATTCCTTCAAAATGATTTGTTTTGAAATGTTGACTAAATATCTCAGAACTGTATATCATCTTTAGTATAATCAAACATTGTTCAGACTGAAGATGTGGCTTTTCTTTGTATTCTGAGACATAAATTATATGTGATGCTCTCTTTTATACTACAGCACAGGGAATTATCCATTGTTAGTAATTAAAATGATTTTTTAAAGTTTTTACCATTTATAGATAACTCAATTGTTGCTTTTATCTATTTAAAAATTTCACTGGGAAAAACTTAAGTCTTCATACTCCTACTTTGCATTATATATATTCATTAACTATTTACTTAATAGATATATGTGCATTGGCAATTAACATGTCTAGTACACAAATTTAATGAGACATTGAATGATTACTTCTTAGCACCTTCAACGTCTCAGGCTTTAAAAAGCATTCACACCTGAGGTAGACTTTGGGGAGCCCCTTTTGAGGGCCTTTCCCTGCCTGGGGAGTGGGGGGAGGATGGCTAGGGGCAGGTGGGATGTTGGGTTGGAGGGGAGGGAGAGGGAGAAGGGATTGACATCTGAAGAAAGCTTGTTCCTAATTTGAACTAATAAAATAAAAAAATGAAAAAAAAGCATTCACACCTGAATACGTCATGGTTTTATCTAAACCTACAATGTGGAAGATTTCTAAAAATATACCACATCCTTCAGCAGTACCCATTATCCAATTCTGATATAAGTCCCATTTTCAGTCCAAATGTCTTTTATACCTAAAATTAAATGAGTTTTAAAACTACAAAAATGCTACATACCCATTCTTAGTGAGACTTCAGAGATGTTTTACTTATTGCCATCCTTTGCGAATGATGAGAAATGTTAATTTGCTTATGATCATACACATCAGGAGATTTGAACTATAGTCTGGTGAAAACATAATCCATGCTTTTCCAAGTTCACTAATGAATTATGTGAAATGACAGAATGTCAATGTTTTCTGCATTCTAGTTGAAGCAGCTTTGCCAATGGATGTGCAATAAAATTACTTTTATTTTACATACAGATATTTCTAGTGAGTATGTGTATGGGTGCATATGTACGTATGAATATGTGTGTATATATGGGTATGTGTGAGGAATCCCAAGGTTAACATCTTTTGCAGTCACTATCCACCTTATTTATTGAGTCAGGGCCTCTCACTCCAATCCAAAATTCATGTATTCAGCTAATATAAAAAAGCCAGCTTGCTGCGGGAATCTCCCTTATATCACCTACATTGGGCTAGGATTGTGGCTGGGCCATTATGTCCATTTAGCATTTACATGGGTGCTGAGGATCCAAACTCTGGCCCTCGTTATAGCACAGCAAGTATTTTCTCCATTGACATATCACCATAGCCTTTAATAGAATTCTTTACAATTAATAATCCATGAAAAGATATTTTTGAATATTTTGATTAATTTTAATTTAATCCTTTTACTGTGGTAGTACTTCTAAGGAATTTAATACACAGTTGGGCATTTTGATTCTTCAAAAAAAAGTTGTAGTATAATGCTGTCCAAATTCTTAGAGAAATGAACTATTTGGTTGGTAGATCATCTCTATTAAACCTAGGACAAGCATTCCTGGAAATGAGGAGGGGTAGGATTTGGGGGAGTTGTAATTTTTCCACTTTATTTCTCTTTAAAACATGTGGATTTATCTTCTTTAATTTCATTTTATCATCTGCTTTTCCTTCATTTCCTCCCCCCATCACACATACTTTTTGAAATAAAATAACCATACCCATCATTCCAACAGGCACTACTTTGTTCTCCCTTTAGATATTAACTCAGTCTGCCCTTCTGCCACCTGACTTCATTTAGTGAATGCAATATTATGTACCTTTTGTTATAAATATGGTGTATATGTTTATCTACACTATCATGTAAATCACCAGCTTCAGGACAATGACTTTTTGTACATTTTTTAGTATAATAATATGATACATATAGTTATACAATTGCCCTTCTGTCTAACTCACATTGAGCCTTATAATTGTGACTGCAATATAGTTTCGAGGGGTCTTCCTAGTGTTCACATCTCTTCCAAGAATACAATCTAGGGAGGAATTTTCCTTTATACATTATTTAAAAATGAACAAAACTTTAAAATTGAAAGAGATTGGATTACAGAACAATAAGCTACATACTGACAAACAGTTAGCATGCAGCCATCATGCTGTACATACTGAAAGTTTGAAATTAATTGTGATTAGTTTTCTCAATGGATGGGTGAAGCCAACAGAAAATTGTATTTTTGTCTACACCCAGTGTATTACCTCTTTCTTCTCAATTGTACAGGTACTGCTGATCTTCTTTGTGTCCCATGCTCTTCTTGTCCTACCCTGATCTACTCTGGTATGTTTGCTCAGGGCACTTAATACCAACAGCAGGTAACTGTAGTATTCTCTGTAACTGCTCATAGCTTAGATTGTTTAAAATACACATTGCTCCTCACTTCATGAGAAAAAAGTCTATGTCAAGTACTCTTCCCTCCCCTCCCATTCCTTCCCCTCTCTTCCTCCCCTCTTGCCCTTTCCCTTCCCTCTCTTCCCTTCCCTTGCTTTGCTCTCCTTTGCCTTCCCTCTCAGTCCCTCCATTCTTTGTCCTTGGATGAACCAATAACTTCTAGAATCTAGATCTAGAATCTAGATAGACACAAGCTGAAAAACGTACTTCCCAACTGTGTGAGACTCTGTGGTGCTGCTATTATCTCCTGGAGTTTCAGAATCTCAGAAAGCCAAACACTGCATCTATGAAGTTATCCATACATACCAGATTTTAAAAGAAGAATACAAAATTCAGAAATATCTTCTTTCCACATATCTCAGAGAGAAGCAAACAAGTTATGTTTTTCCTTTGTATCTAATGAGACACAAAATATCAAAACTAGAAAATTTGCAATATTCTACCCCTCTCCTCACCCATGAATGACCTCTCAATACCACTTAACATGTGGCCATCCAGAGTCACTGTGGATCCTAGAAAAGGGAGTTCTGTCTCTAAATCATTACTCATTTGTTTTTGTTCTGCCCTAGCCATTCATTGACCTATGAATTCCATATTAGGAAATCACTTGAAGAAAATCTTTTCAATGCATTTTTATATGGCTATCATAATAATATGTTAATCTCCATATGTTTTAAATAAAACATGAAAATATATACTATAAAACAGAGAAATGGTTTTATAGTAGATATGGAAAGCATATAAAAGTAGAACAATCTAGTTTCAAACAACAGAAGTTAATTTTAAAATTATACATTTTATGTACTAGAGAACTGCGATTCATTAGGAAGCATCAGATATACATTAACTGAACATTTTCATATGTACACATACACACACATGCATATATATACACACACATACACACATTCTGATCCTTCTGATTCTTATGTGCAAGTTTTCCCCCAATATTTTTATTAAAAAAGATCAATCATAAGAAAGAATATTAGATGTAAACTAATTTTTGTTATGTATAAGATACAGGCACATATGCAATAAATTCATATTTATTGAATATATACTAGATGGTTATAAACTAAAATGTCATTGATGACTGTATTTTTGTAGTGTAATTGTTTTTATTTCCCTATATTTCCATAAAGAATAGATATAATATAAATTATAAAAATCCTTAAAACCTTTTGTTTGAAAATGTGTTTTAAAAACCCTGTCCTTTCTTGCTCTAAGCTCTGAGCTCCCCCCCACCCTCCAGACCTCTTTTGTGTGGTTATTTCTATTTGTACCTTTCTTCTACAGAATGACTTTACTGTTTGGTCTACAACTATCCTGGCCCTGTTGCTTTTTAAATGTTCTTTGCATAACGTATAAGCTCTTCAATTCAAGAGCTTCTAAAAACACTGTCATTCTGGTCATTCATATCAATAAATATATTTGAAAAACTCCAGAAAATAGCACAAAATAGTTGTGGTGATATGGCGGATAGTATAGCTTACCAACAAGGATCTTAAGTGAAACAAAATATGGAAAGGACATACAGTGGATGATTATCTTGCCAAAATTCTGACTACTAAGCATCATTAGGATAAGTGCATGCACCTGAAAATTTTAATCAAGAACCTAGAGAGAGTTATATTTAAGGGTGATAGGAATTAGTTCAATAAATGAGTTAGCTGGACTTGATTGGAGCAAATAATTAATTCTGGATAAAGAAGAAATATGCAAAAAATGGAGGAGTCCCCTCTTCCTGTTTTCTCTCATCTTTCCTCCCTTTGTTCCTTCTATCTCATTAAATAACTATTTATTAAGCAATTTGCTGTATGCAAAGTATTCTTTCAAGCTCTTCCACAATAACATTCTGATTAGGATTTCATGAAGATACCAAAATTCTAAATACTATTAAAAACATTATTAATATAGGTAAGATCAATGTCAATTAATATAGGTAAGATCGTTGACATGGCCAAAGTTCATACAATAGAAGTCCCAACCTCTCCTTTTGATATTCAGCTCTATCGCTGCATTGTTGAATGTATTTTCATTTATTTCTTTTCTCTTCTACAGGTCTGTCTGTGAAACAGGCAAAGGACATTTCAAGTGGTCCTTAAGGAGACTGTAGCTGACTTACTCCTTACATATGGTCCCAATTTGATGTACTATATGTAATCTCTAATGAAATGTTATTTTTCTAATATAAACAATAAACAAAGCACTCATGTACTGAGGGTATGTATCTGTCTACAGTCAAGGAACAGTAATTCAGGAAAAGTGGTCTAGTGGTCATGGAATCTGATATCTTTTGATCTGATCAATATCTTTGGTTTATGTTTCCTTATATGTAGTTATTCAAGTTAATGTTTGATATATTAAATATTGCCTGACTCAACTATTTAAAATTTTCTGTATCTTCACTAGGGTTTCTACCACTATTTTTATAGTAGCAACTCATCTTTTGGATTGGTAAACATTACACTTGCCCACATTTGCTAAGATACACAACTAGTCAGAAATTAACTGTGTAGCATTACCAAGCAGATGTAAACTCTGCAACAGGAAGAAATGTTCTCTTTACCACTACCCTGATAGGGTTATATCCCTGTTCCTATTAAAACATGACTGTTATTAGAACAAAACAAAACAATAAATCATGAAATGCATGACCTCTGAGCACATACAAGGAAAATCAATGATCATTTATGCAATTATTGAGCCACATTGATACTATTCAGTTTAAATTTGATGATTGCTTACTTTTAGAATATGCTACATGTTGACTCTAAATGAATAGATTTCAGTCCATCTATTGACTATATCTGCTATCTTTTATCTTATTTGTCTTAATGCAATGCAATGAGTTAAGGCTAAATTATAAAATTCTTGGTACAGCTATAAAAGAAACAATTGCTAAAGTTTGCTAAAGACTAGAAAATATCTAAGGAACAAACAAGCAATTTCCAACTTTAAGTCATGTTCATGAATGTAAATAACAAAATTTTAAGTGATATAAAAATTTTCTTACATTATTGTTTTTGTATGATGAAACTAAGTTTAGTAAGAAGTACTTTTATAGACGGAAATAAATTAAAGGTTTGCTATTAATTTCTATTCATGGATGTGAAAAAGCAACTGAGTATAGTCAGCTTAAAGGGGAACAAGTTTATTTTGGCCCATGTTTTTGCAGGTTTCAGAGCATGCTCTACTGGCTCCTTTGCTGCTGGCTTATGGCAAAGCAGATTGCCATGGCAGAGGGAGTATGAGATAAGAGCTCACTTCGTGAAGGTTTAGAAGCACAGAGAGTGAGAGGCAGGAACAAAATATAACTTCTAGTTACCCAATTCCTCCACCCAGGCCCAGCATTATAGCTTCCACAACATTCTGATAACCCATTCTACTGTGGCTTCATCAACAGATTAGCCCATTGGTCCAATAGCTTAACTTCCAATCACTTCTCTAGAATCTCAACTCTGAAAATATAATTGGGGAGGGGAATTATATTTTAGAGAGGGGAAAATTTTGACCAAATTATAACAGCAGAGAAAATAGTGAGTTTTTAAGCAGAAAGCAAGAAAGCAGGAGATTAAGTTTATAGGATCCAGGTATTTCATATTAAAAATCTGCATCATGAAATGAAGCTTCAAAAAATTCAACTGAGGATTTAAAATATTCTCCTTGCTACACAGTTTATTTCTTTAAAACAAGTCACCAATAATGTGTTTATCTGAGCCATGTTCTCCTGCAACAACGGCCTCTTAATCTCGCATGCAATCTAACCTGTGACAATCGCATGCACCAGGATGTAAGAATGGATCTCACTGAATGCACAGTGGAAGATGGGCCAAGCCATTCGCTAAACAAAAGGTAAGGACACATCCTAACCAAGAACCAGCTGCTGCAAGTGAAAGAGTCTAGTTTGGGTCAAATGCCAAACCCAACTCCAATTGTACAGGAGTGGGGGAGTGTTGTCAAGGAAGAATGAGTGAGAATAATTGGGGAGGGTTGAAGGTTAAAGAAAAGTAAAGGAAGTGGAAAAGGGTGGTTGTTACTGCAGAAACTCACCTGACTTTGCTCATAGGTGTTCCAAAGTCACATGTCTAACCTGTGACAGAGACAGGCAGACAGGGGCTCTGTCCCTGGATCTGTCAAGAGCCCCATAAGTCAAACATATAATGGTAGAAGATATAAGAAGTGGACAAGGTTAATGTAGGAAGGTGTTAGGTTAGAAGGAAGTTACAGAAGTTAAGATAAAATCATAAAGTTCTATTATTTTTTAACTCCATGTATGGCAAAAAAAATCTAAATGCAGTTGAGATATCCAAGCAGTAAGTCACCAGAGAAAACTAAAACTATATGCATAGCTTTTCTGTATTTACTGCATGTAGAACTATGTAGCAGAGGTGAGGGAGAGGATAATTGTTGAGTGCTGCCTGCGACCATACCTTGGGCCTGTGATTATAGCTAGGTTATCAGTAGGAAAAGAAGTAGACAAGTACATTGTGCATATGTGCTGGGACCTTAGATCTGCATTGCTCCGCAGGTATTGGCACCAAAGTGAAGAGTTGAAGGAAGATAGTTTTTGTTTACGTGCATACATGAGCTCACAGGAGACCGGAAGGAGAAAATCCTGATGATCTGGCACTTGCTCTGCCTTTCTTCTTTAGAAAAGGTGATATGTCCTCCTCAGAATGCTGGCTATCAGTCCCTTGTCCCGCTCCAGTGTTCCTTGAACCCATCCCATTTGTCTGATATGCTCTAATCTGAAAACACACATAGTCCATGCATTCATGAGCTAGGTGGCTATGGTGGGTATAACTGGCAAACAATCTGTTGCCTCATATGTTAAGACAAAAACAACAGAATCCTAGGGATCTCCACATGAGGCACGTGTAATTTACATCTCAAGTAATCAATCTGAGGTGTTGGTTCATTTGCAACCTAAAGCACAAAGAGGTTTATTCATCTGAGATACAGAGCAGTTGAGGGGAATTTCAGATCATAATGAAAGAAAACAAACAAAACAATATTTCAAGAGGACAGCATACCAAGATCTAGCATCCAGGACAAGCATGAACAGTCAACCAAATGAAATGGACAGTTGAGTGTGGCTGGATAACGCTATAGAGCTTCCCCAAGTGGTGCAGATGAGGAGTTAATAGCCAAATCATAAGGGCAGTTAAAAGATACATGCCATCCAGAGGGTAAGGAAAACAGGAAAGAGTTTTGATTGAGAAAGAGTATGATTTGCCTTTTGGCAACAGTGGGGAAATTGGTCATAAAGTGAAAAGACTGGGTGAGGAAGGAATGACTAGGACAGTTACAGAATCTATACTAGAGACCAAACTGCACAGATAGGAAAGGAATCTGAGAATTAATTGATTAAAGATGGGGAGAAGGGTCATAGATACCATTCCAATTTCTGGCCAGGACACCTGGTGGTGAAATATGTTAAACGATGTGCAGATGTTCAGATGTTTAGCTTAGCTTGGGCTGTAGCCAAGATTTTAAGTGTCATCATTGTGCAGATGATCAAACAGCATAATAGAAGTGGAGGCAGTATATGATGTCACCTGATGAGTGTCTGTGCAGTGGAAAGAGGACAGACATATGAGGAAAACACTGGGACTTACGAGATTAAAAATGTGATTTCAAAAGTAAATATTTTATGGACACCTCACAGAGTGGGTGGTCCACACACTGTGTCTAGGAAGCAGAAGGTCAAAATCCTTGAACCTCAAGGTCTCTGGTTCCCGTAAGCACAGCTGGATTTCAAGGGAGAGACAAGTGTGGCCTCATTTGTGGAACAACCTTTAGTAGTCTAGTTTAATGAGGCTGCAGAAAATTTCCTGTGGGTGGAGAGAATAAAAACAACTTTATTGGAGAAGAAGAAGACAGCATGTAAGAAATTTAGCATTTCCCTCAATTATTTCCTAAACACGGTGTTGCAAATCTGAGGTCTTTTCAGTCAGTGTGTGCAGACATCTACTTGGAGAGCATCTATTTCCTTATTTCATAACAATGAAAGACAATGACCATCTTGAGGAGCTTAAGAATTAGTCCTTAAATGTCTTTTGGCAATTTGAAATTCTTCTGCTGGGAATTCTCTGTTTAGATCTGTACCCCATTTTTAATTGGATTATTTGGTTTTTGGGTGCCTAGTTTCTTGAGTTATTTATATATTTTGGAGATCAGCCCTTAGTCAGATGTGGGCTTGGTGAAGAACTTTTCCCATTCTGTAGGCTGCTGTTCTACCATTTTGTCTTATTTACTGTGTCCTTTGCCTTACAGAGGCTTCTCAGTTTCAGGTGTCCCATTTATTAATTGTTGATCTCAGTGTCTGTGCTACTGGCGTTATATTTAAGAAGTGGTCTCCTGTGCCAATGTGTTCAAGGCTACTTCCCACTTTCTGTTCTGTAAAGCTCAGTGCAATTGGATTTATGTTGAGGTCTTTGATTCACTTGGACTGGAGTTTTGTGCATGGCTATAGATACATATTTATTTGCATTCTTCTACATGTTAACATCCAGTTATGCCAGCACCATTTGTTGAAGATGCTTTCTTTTTTCCACTGTACAATTTTGGCTTCTTTGTCAAAAATAAGGTATAGGTGTTCATAGGTGTGTGAATTAATGTCAGGATCTTAGGTTCGATTCCATTGATCTACGTGTATATTTTCATGCCAATGCCAACCTGTTTTTATTACTATAGTTCTATAGTATAGATTGAAATCAGGGATAGTGATGCCTCAGGATGTTTCTTTATTGTACAGTGTTGTTTTGGCTGTTCTTGGTTTTTTGTTTTTCCTATGAAGTTGAGTATTATTCTTTCAAGGCCTGTGAAGAATTGTGCTGGGATTTTGATGGGAATTGCATTGGATCTGTGGATTACTTTTGGTAAGATTGCCATTTTTACTATGTTGATCCTACCTATCCAAGAGTGTCAAAGCTCCTTCCATTTTCTGGCATCAAGCCATCAGGCATTTATCCTAGTGCATGAACTGACATTTAGGAGCCAATACTCTATGTTATGGGGGGAGGGGATTGGTCCTGCCTCAACTTGATATGCCAGACTTTGTTGGCTTCCCATGGGAGGCCTTACCCTTACTGTGGAGGGG